CCAGTGTATATTTGAGGATTAGTTTGATAAAAATTCAGCTCATTCATTAATCAAACAGAGAGTGTAAGTAATTGCTACAATCTAATCTAAAAACCATAAATTTCAACTGAACCACCCAGGTGTAAATGTCCCTGATTCATTCTCATGGATTCTTAGTCATACATTTATTGTCTATTTCAGTTCATAAAACAATGACTAATAAACAAATACACCCCTTCTTTGAAAGCAAACACTCCAAGTTCCCAATGGTGCTCCTGGGGACTGCTCTCTAAGTACTTGCTTCCAGGATCTGCGATCAGAATATGTAAGCATTCTCACTTCCTGTTAAACAATTTTTAAATAAAGGTGCTGTGACTTGTGGTGGGTAAATGGGCTAACTACTGAGATACATAGCTATGTATTTAGTAAGTGTACTTATTCTGAAGGACAATATGAAACAAGAGGTCGGTAGCTGGCAGCCCCACAGTTGACCTTTTCTCTCTTTTTCTTTGAAGCTGTGTGAGTCTATTGGATCACATCACTGGCTGCTTGTTCTATTCTATTTTTTATCTAAATTTCTCATGACTGTCATTTTGCCTCTACACTGCTTTATTAAAACAACAGTAGCAATGAACTGTAGTAAAATAGCATCCTAATCCCCATCCTTCTCTAGGTAACAACTAACGAATTACAAAATGCTGCAAAATTCTTAATGCTAAATTAAGTATAGGGCTCAAGGCATACAGTATAACTTGGTACACTCTTTGGCCTTATCTGAATTTTAAAAATCCAAACACATCTCTCACTTTTATTGTTCATATTTTTACACTGTTTTAAGTACAATGTGATTAACATCTGGGAGAGAATCCAGTCATGATTGTCCAATGTAAATACATTTCCATGTTACCAAAAACATATATGTGTTAAGTAAAGCATCCTATAATATACCACCCTATCCAGCCTTAGGTTGCTTCTGTACAAGATTTGGTGATCCCCAAGTTTTCTCATCAGCCTTGAATCCCTGTGTCTCTGTGATTAGCTGTAGGAAGCCAGCAACAAGAAGGTAGATGAAACATTTACCCCTCCTCGAAGTGTGGTGACCATGTTCTCTTATATGCCAACCTTGTTTTTATTTTTTTACCTATGACCCATTATCTTGAACACATCTATTGTAATTTTTCATTTTCAAATTATTCTTGCCTTCTTGTTTGTGGATTCCTAGAAGAATAGGATATTATTGCTATATATCTCAAATCATGAAAATTTAGGATCGTTACTAGATACTAGGAGTTTGGATGAAGATGTGATTGGCCAGAGTCTAAACTGAGGTCTACATAGTATGATTTGCATCCTACATCCTGTCCACTGCCTGGCTTTGTATATAAAGTTTTGTTGAAACATGGTATCTCCTTTCTCAGCACACTCATTAAAGAGTTGCAAGAGACTGCATGATACTCAAAAACTAAAGTATTTACTCTGAGTTCCTTTTCAAAAAGGTTCACTCATGTATGATCTAAAACATGAGAGATCATTTTTTTCCCAAGAAACTTCATAGGACCCCAGCATCACAATGCTAACCATGTTGTCTCCATACTTTCCTCTATGCACATCTCTTATAAATTATATAACACTGTGCTGGGCATGGTGAGACATGCCTTTAATCCCAGAACTTTGGAGGAAGAGGCTGGCAAGTCACGGTGGTTCAAAGCCAGCCTGGTCTACATGGCAAGTTTCAGAACAACCAGGGCTATGTAGAGAGATCCTACCTCTAATGAAACAAAAATTATTTGAAGCTATACTGCAATTTATTTTTCACACTAGATCCTCAGAATATAGTAAGCATTCTAACAGTCTTCCATTATATAGTCAGTTGTTTCTTTCACACTTTTTGCTTATATATGTCTTAGGAGAATTTTGGTAAAGTAATACACACACACACACACACACACACACACACACACACACACACACACACACACATTTCCCAAAACTATATTTTGATAGAGAATTTGGAAAGACTGGTAGAATACTTTTAAAGTTGAGATCCAAAATATCTCATTAGAAATCTAGACAGTTACAAAAGATATAGCTTTGTTCAGATGTAAATATTTATAAAACTGTGATACCGCCAAGGAACATGTATACAGCAACATGTTTGGGACCCACTGTCATCCATATAAAAAAGACCTCAGCCTCCATTCAAGATGGAAAAGGCCACAAGGGAACATTCACTCCTTGTACTCTAACAAGGAGAACATGCCAAAGTGTCTACAGAACCATGTTTTGTTGAGTGTATTTTAAGCTCAATAGGAAACCCATGCTACTTAACCATGTGGTGAACAGAGACTCAAATCTACAGGCCCCTCTGAGGAGAGGCAGGTCAGGGACAAGCCCTTTGACCCCCCAGTGGAGCACTGAGCAATAGTGACTGCCACAGAAGTAGGTAAAAGAGACACTTGGTGGATTGGATCTTGAGTTTAATGTGGTCCATAGGTGAGGTCTCCTTCACCAGGAGACCTCCTTTTCTTGGCTCCCCACCTAATGCTTACAAGGAGGGTCTGGGAAGATGCTGGAGTTTGAAGAAAAGGGGACACAAGGAAACTTTAGACATTGATTTCTAGCTTGTATTGGTGGCTGCACAGCTGACAGCGACCATAATTCATCAGAATCAACAGATGCTGAGGCAGAGTTTGTTGTGTGTAAACTTTGTTTCAGTGATGTTGAAAAAAAAAAAAAGAAACTAACTGTTTCGAATCTAACTTGGGCAAATTAGAGTCATTCATGTAGAGTCTCCCCAGTTCTCACCCTCTTGACTCTTACACAGAATGGTAACATAATGCAAGTCTTAGGACCTGAAATCATTTTTGGCTTGTCTTTCTAATCTCCTTCACGGTCCACATCAAAAATGATGGCTCTGCTTTAAACCATACTTACTGTCAAAGTTCAGATTTCTATGGGACATTTCTCCCCTTAACCTCCTCTATTATTTTTAGTTTCGCTTCTCTGGACAAAGCTAACACCATGTACTGTCTGGATCCCTTAATAGACCCCATGATTCTTTTTCTACAATCCACACTTACTGCAGCCATCTGATGACCCTAGTAAGAGGAAGGTAGAGTCATACCTTCTGTTTTACACACACTATATTAGCTACTGTTCTATTGCTGTGATAAAATGCGACAACCAAGACAACTTATAGAAGAAAGAGTTTGTTTGTGATTATGATTCCAGAAGGTTAGAGTCTATGATAGTGGAACAAAGACATGGTGACAGGAGCTGGAAGCTGAGAGTTCACGTCTTGAACAGCAAACATAAACCTGAGAGAGGACTGGAAATGGCATGTGGCTTTGAAAACTCAAAGCCTGCCCCCAGTGATGGACTTCCTCTAGCAAGGAGAAAGATATGGGGATTTGAGGTTGATGAAAACCACTTTGTGATCAACAAGTCTTAGTCCTCCTTGTATAGGAGACAACTGAGGCCTGAATAGAGTGGCACATTATGGAACATTTAGCTTGCCACATACATGTGTTTCATAAAAATAAAAATGTATTATATTGGACAGTTTTATATCTCCTAAACTTACCTAAACAAGGTCATCAACTGGAGATAATGAATACAAATGCCTAGGCTGATGGGAGACATTCTCATTCAAGCCATATAACCCCAAATATTTATAAATAACATGAAGTATGATAAGATCAGTAACTTGATTATTAGACCATTGATTCTAGGCAGTTAAGGTAATCATAACAAAATGCCAAATGTTTGATGGGTTACACAACACAAATTCACTTTTTCTCATAATTCTGGAAGCTGGAGGTCTGCCGTCAGGGTTCTAGCCATTCTTATTTTCCCCCCATATGGCTTATTCTTTTCTTTTATTCAGATATTTTGTCAGTAACTTTTCTTGTCTATGCCTTGCAACCAAAGGACACTAGGATCGTGTCTACAGCTAATGCTGTATTTCTGGGCTTTAGGGAGATAATTCAACACCAAGGGGAATCATGTGATATACTAATTTGTGGATGTGGGAAGAGCTCATCATGGACTCAGGTTTGTGCTAAGTAATTTTGCAAGGGATTCAGTGAAGCATAATTTTACTTCTAGATTGTAGATTGTCACTAAGCAAGGCAAGCATATTAGCAGATTCTTAATTGTGGTGATATTTTGTTTGTGAGCTAACAAATAAAGCTTGCCTGAAGATTAGAGTGAAGAGCTAAGCTACTAGTTAACTACAGAGGCCAGAACTAGGGAGGTGGAGACAGGGAGTGATATGGCTGGGCAGAAAGAGAAATATAAGGTGGGAGGAGACAGGAGGAGCCCAGTCTCTTTCAAGCTGAGGATTTGTAGTGGTAAAAAGTCATTCTAGTGGCTGGCTGCTCTGCTTCTCTGATCTTTCAGCTTTCATCCTGATATCTGACTCCAGGTTTTTATTATTAAGACCAATCAGGATTCGTGCTACACTTAATCTTCAGCTAGAAAGAATCACATGAGACAGTTTGTAAGGCACAAAAAAGAACTTCGAGTCAGCTGCTATTCTATTTGCCTCGTGAAAGGCATACTTGGTCATTTTCATGATTTTCAGTTTTCTTCTGTACTTGATTATCATTTGGTTTCATTGTTGTCTTGCTCTAGTCATGAGGGTGAGTTTGTCTGATTTGGTTTTGTGTTAAATATTTCATGTTTGGAAGGAAAAGGACACAGCGGCCATCCCCTGTGATGATAGTTGGAAGCTGCTATGTTTATATTTCATCTACAATGTATCCTCTTAATGTTTCTCTCCCCATATGTAGCACTACTTCTGTTACTTTTCCTCATAGAATATATCATTTTAATGACACAAGAAATATATTTATTGTTTATTAGCACATCGTTATATATAAATTTGAGTAGAATTGCAATTCAGATTCTCTGGTTCCCATGTTCATTACATGCTCCTGAAATACAATAGGTAGGGAATATTTATTAGTAAATATATTTGTTCAATTACTAATTTTCTTTTTAAAAATTTAAATCAACCTGGTTCCATAGTGTAGTGGTTATCACATTTGCTTTACATGCAGATGGTCTTGGGTTCAAGTCCCAGTGGAAATACATGGTGGGGTGCCTTATCATGCCTTTAATCCCAGCACTCAGGAGGTAGAGGCAGGTGGATCTCTAAGTTTGAGGCCAGTCTGATCTACAGATTGAGTTCCAGGGTTACAGAGATAAACCCTGTCTTAAAAAACAAAAGCAAACAGAACAAATAAAGTTATAAAAATTCCAAAAGATAAACAAAGATCTGCATAGTGTATAAATTTAAATAGAATTATGGAACATATTAAGATACAACCAGCAGAAAACCACACAGTAGGACTACCACAGGTGCACATAGGTATGGATAGTTTTCAATCAATATTCAAGTGTTGGGCTATCATTTGCACAAAGGGTAACTGAGTTTTCCCTCTCTGATAGAAAAACAGTGATTGATTCGAAATAAAGTTGTGTTAGTTTTTTTGTCAACTTGATCCCACCTAGAGTTATCTTGGAACAGGAACGTCAACTGGGAAGATGATCCACAGACTTGCCTCCAGGTGATCTTAATAACTGCTAGGGAGGACACAGCTCACTGGATGTGATGCCATCACTGGCATGTGGTTCTAAGTGTGTAAAACAAATCAGACTGAGCAAGTTATGGGGAGAAACCAGTAAGCTGTGCTCCTCCATTATCTCTGCTTCAGTTCCTGCCTCCAGGATTCCTGTTCTGTTTCCTGTCCTGATGTCTCAGTGACGGACCATGATATAGAAGAAATCAAATTAGGACAAAGGGTAAAATTTTCATTTAGGCAAAGAACTAAAGACAGACTAGTAACACATTCAATTATTCTATGTAATTGTCTGTCAATACACATTCATGCATTTTCACAGTTTACAAGCAACAAAAATTTCAATAATTTTCATAAATAAGTATAGAAAGGAAATTTACTTTGAAGGATTACACATGTGTCCACAAGGCACAATATTTTGTGGCATGCTCTTCTTTGAAGTTACTGTGTATATATCAAACCACTTTGTATGCATAAGCATTTCACTAGCCAATGAAGTAATTATAAGTGCAGCAGGCAAAACTCAAAATATCTCTGTTCATCACTCCCAGTTGGAGAAGGTCCAGGGACACCTGAAATGTGTCTGGGTCACTGTGCCCTCAGTACTGAAATGATCTCTGTTTAAAATTCATGAAGCTTGACTTTCTTAAACTTTTTCTTAATCTCTTAGTATTTCCTCTTTGTGTCTGTCTTTTAAGGAAACAGATCATATTGCTCTGTCAAAGAAATGGGAAACAGAAGATGGTGAATATTGGGAAATGAAAAACTAAAACTCCTGTGAGTTTTGCAAGTCTGTGGTCAGTGTAGACCATCTGTCATAATTGCTAAACATGAGGATATAGTTTTTATGCACTAGCAATCATATCGTGGCACTGTATACCAGAAAATGCATTGAATGCGCTATAATGCTGATCCATGACAATTCCTATTCCAAAGATGACAACACATACCACACACACACACACACACACACACACACACACACACACACACACACGATACTTTCACTTTCTAAATGACAAAGTAAACATATAAACTGTGACAGACAGATTGAGAACTTCCCAACAATACCTACATCCAAGTCTGCAAGCCTATGGATATGTTATTTTACATGGAAGAAAGAGCAAATCATTTAGAATGTAAGAGAAAGACTATCCTGGGTTATCTGTGTAGAGCCAGTATACCGCAAGAGTCCTCCCAAGAGGACAGAGTGACCGTCAGAGTGCGCATGATGATGGAGACAGATGTGAGTGATGGTGTGAAGATGGTGGATGTAGAACAATGGAAGAGAGGACATGGCCTCCAGAGGCAGGGCAGCTCATGGTACTCTCCTCTAGAACCTTTAGAGGGAAGGCCCAGGGTTTTAACCTTATGGACATATTTTATATTTCTGGCCTCCAGAACTTTATGGTTATGCCTGGGTTGATCCATTATCTTGATGTATTATAATAATATATATCAAGATATATTATATTAGCATCAATAGAAAACACAACTAATATATAAAACAAGATAACACTCTGTTGTATGTCATATGAGAACTTGGATATTTTAACCAGCTCCTGAACTTGCTGATTATTTTATGCAGATTAGTCTGAAGACAAGCAATAATCTCTATCTAACCACTATTGACTGTGTTAGCTCTGCATGTTTGAAAACTACTTCATGAAACACGATCTCTCTTCCACTATGTGAAGGAAATGTATGTTCTTAAGTTACCCTAGATGAAGGTATTTCCTCACTCTATCTAGAACAGTTTATTTCCTGGTAAATAATATGCAGTTTTCATATTGTATCAACAATGTGTGCTTACTGTATGACTACTTAGACTGCTAGTTTTAAAACACATATTGACTTTTCTGCTCCAATTGATTCTTATTTATGTATATGTTTTAAAGCACCATGGTGAAAACACAGCTAAAATTAATGTGTTGTCAAAACAGAGTTACAAACCAGGGCAATTACAAGTCTCTTTATCAGCAGTCTTGCTTCTGCCCAGGGCTTATTATGGGATTAGGGTATTTTCCCAGATCTAAGTCTTTCTGGTTAGGTTACCTGAGGAGAATCTGCAGTATTAATGGAGATCATCATAGTATGTTCTTACTTTTTCCACTGTAAGGCTTATAGTTGGATAGAGATAGAGACTTTCTGAGATAAAGTGACAAATGTCATATTAGTAAACTCTCATTTAATTTATCAAAATGTTATTTTGAGTGCCTACTTTGTGTTGGAGGAGTTAGAGGAAGAGTTGAGCTTGCTTTCAAATGCAGGGAATTTAAATGAAGATGTAAAATTGAAACTAACTACCATTTGGCTTCAATACGCAAAATAGAACAAAAATAGAGAAAGAACTATCTTAGCATTAACTCATTTCATTATGAATGGTAGATGAAGTTTTAGATTTAATATGGAGAAAACAAGAAAAACACTAATGGCAGGTGTTGAATATTGACCCATTTCTTTTCATTATAAATCTTCTGTGTCAATGAGAGGATATTATGGGTCAATAATAGTAACACAGAACCTCAACAATATACCACATTTGTGCATTGGAACTTCAAAGAATATTTGTATCCTTTAGTCTATGCAGTGCTTCTTAGCCTTCCTATGTTGCAACCCATTAGTTCAGTTCCTCATGCTATGATGGCCCCCAACCATAAAATTATTTCATTGCTACTTCATAACTGTAATTTTGCTACTGTTATGAATTGTAATGTAAATAAATGATATGTAGGATATCTGATATGCCACTCTAAAAAGATTGCAACCCACAGGTTGAATACCTCTGGTCTCTAGGATCCAAGTTGCCATGGAATGCTGTCATTGAATGTGTTGTGTCCAAAACTAACACCACTGAATCCAAAGATGGCTTCAGTCATTTTCTCATTGACATTCTTTCCTTGGGCACCACTGAGACTAATCATCATTATTCAAAGGGGACTCTATTTGACAGTGTTCATCTTCACCTTCCAAATGGTTCTTCAGCTTAAAAGTGTTACATTGGAGATCTAAAAGGGATGCTTGCTCTTTTAACTGTACTCATTATCTTAAGTTTCAAATTAACACATCTCCAGGAGCTGAAATGAATGACAACTACAATTAATTTATTGTCCTATGTCCATTCTTCAAAAGCACAATCAATGTGAGTTACATGCCATTTCAGCATTAAGAATTTACAAGGATTTCATAAATGAGGACATGACGAAGTGATCTATTCACTGTAGTACCCTGGTAATAGCTGTAGAGCAGAGGGAAGTCTACCTATATAAAAGGAGTTAAAATTATTTTTCCTTCTAAATATTTTGGTCTTTAAAAATTAATTTTTTTATTATTCTTGTATGTGTACACACAATAGTGCATGCATTGGGGTCAGAAGCAACCTTATGGAATGGAGCTGGTACTCTCTTTCTATGTTAAGTGAGTTCTGAGATTGAATATAGGTTGCCAGGCTCACACAGTAAATACCTTTTCAACTGAGCCATCTTGAAAGCTCATTTATGATCTTTCATGGTATGTTGAAATTGTCACCGTTATCCATGCCTGACTGAGACTGACTTTGGTTTTCTACACCATTCCATGGAGTAGAAAGTATCCTAAAACTTGTGGCTGAAATTGTGATCAGATAACAGTTTTATCTAACCCTATTCAGAGTCATGAGCTCTCAAGACCTTTTTATAGAATCAAGAGAACATGGAAAGAGCTATCTTCTATTATTGCTTCACTAATAATTTAACACCCATAATGACCACTCAAATACAATAACCCTATTTTTTTTTTCCAGTGAGGACAATGATAGGTAACCTCCATTTAATCTGTGATGGTAGAAACCCATTCCTTCAGGCATGCATGCATACATTATTTAACAAATGCTCTTTTACATACAACAGATACAGGAGGGGATAAAAATAGATGCATTTCTAATCTCATAGAGATTTTGTCCTAGTGAAGATGTTCTTGCCACAGGCATTTGCTGATCTTGCATTATCTACCTATCCTTCCTCTTTGCATATCTGTGGCATGTCATTTGGAAGGGGCCCAGATGTGGGAGTCTGTCAGAGTCCGGCTACGACCTGTTGAAGGGTTCTTGGGGGAGGAGAGAGGATTGCAAAAATGAGAGATAGAAAGATAGAAAGAGACGATAAGAAAGACAGAGACACAGGATACTGTGGTCAAATCATTCCATTATGCAGCCCTGCTGGGTAAAGCAAGCTCAGATTCTCTGACCTTCAGTAAGGTCTTACTAGGGAGGCCCTGTGGGCTCCACAGCCAGAGACCTCAGAGAATTTTATTTAGTATTCTTTTGTTTTCTGGGAGAGAGAAAAATTGCATGGGATTCTCAGAGGTTGCTGGCCGGTACAATATTCCCAAAGACTTCTCGACAATTGGCAGCTTCTCTTGCATTGCCTCTGAGTACTTGATTCTGGTTACAGGTGACAAGATAAAATGAAGTGAGCTATGCCAAAACAAACAAACAAACAAGCAAACAAAACAAAACAAAACAACAACAAC